GGCGGCGACGGGCGGCGGCAAGCCGCTGCTCCGCGGCCGCAGCCTCGGCGGCGCCGGCAGCGCGGGCGGCATGTCCGCCAACGGGTGGACGGGCAGCGTGCCGGCGACGGTGCCCGGAGGGGCTCCGCCCAGCGCATTTTCAGGGGCCGCCGCCCGCCCGTCGCAGGCCGGCACGGCGCAGCAGGGGGGCGCCGGCGCGCCAGACCCCCAGCAGCCGCTGGCGCTGCTGCCGTCGCTCGTGACCGACCACTCGACCGGCCTGGCTGTGCTGCGCACGTGGTCAGGTGAGGGCCGCAGAGGGTCACGGGTGGAACTTGGGTTTGGGGGTGAGTTCCGTAGAAGTCACCGAACCCCAGGCAACAAAGGTCACCAAAGCCAGACAAGTAGGGACACTGGCTGGCATGCCCGCGTGGGCACCCTGTGTCCAGCGTGGTCGTGCGCTGGGCCTGCGCACCTGTGTGTATTAATGTCGCTGCTTCAGGTTCAGGGGTGAAGGTTTGCAATCCTCGTTTTGAACCCCTAAATCCTCAACCACGTGGCACCAGCTAGTCCGTGGACCGCGACCCCTCTTGCCTGCAGCGATGCGCCCCCCCTTGCCTGCCCTGGGCACCTCCCCTGAAACATACAACATCACCTGCACCGCACATGTGCCGCTGTACCTGAGGCCGCGAGCAACAACCCACACCGTCAACCACCGCAGCCCATTCTCAGACCAATACACCTCAATCGCCTCACACCACACCACGTCAACCGACACTGCAAGCTGCCAGCGGGAGGAGACCCTTTATATCCAACCACCCTGGCTCCCCGGTGTGGAACACCATCCATGCAAAGATCCCCCCAACTGCACAACGCCAACCCACTTGTCGCGCCCTAACCGCCCCAACCGCCCCAACCGCCTCAATCCGCCCGCAGTGCACCAGGACCCCGTAGAGGCGTGGCGCGAGCTCGTCGGCCGCGCATCCCCTGCGTTCCAGCGCGCCTCCGCCCGCGTGGCGGACGGCCCCTGGCGGCCCTTCCGGCTGCAGCTCGCGTGGATGCTCATGCTGCTGGCCGCCAGGGCACCGGCAAATCGGATGTTGATAGCCAAGGTGGAGCGCGCCAGCATCGCGCCCCTGGCGACGCAGCTGGAAAATGCGGAGCGCTGCCGCGCCGCCGGGCTAGGCTTGGGCGACGGTGGCGATGCGGACGGCCGGGAGGAGGAGGACGGGCCCGCCCATGGCAGCAGCGGCGGCGAGCGCGAGGGCGAGGGCCTGGCGGCGAAAGGGGGTGCGTGGGGCGGCGACGGCGGCGGCGGCGCCGGTGGCGGCGGGGGCGCGGCGCCGCCTGCATGGATTGACTGCCCACCTTCCGCGGGGTCTGCCGATCCGAACGGGGTGCCGCCGCCACCCAGCTTCGGCCCTGGCGGGCCCCACGCGGCCCCGCTGCCGGCTGCTGCCAACGTGCACCCCGCGCCGGCTGCGGTCGCCGGGGCCGGCCCGGCGGCGCGCGGGGGCGTGGGGTTGGACGAGGTGGGGGGCGTGGGGGCGGGCGCGTTTGTGCTCGCTGGCGATGGAGACGACGAGGACCTTGAGATGCTGCAGCAGGAGGTGGCCTTCTTCTCATCCCAGGCCAGTGTGCAGCGCCGCAGCGAGCCTGGGGCCGGGGCTGGAGCGGCGGCGAGGTGATCTGGGGGCCTGCAGGATCTGCTTGTGTGGCGGTGACGTGGGGCCCGGACCGTAGTGGTCCCTGGCTGACATGGCGCGCCCTCGCACCGGGTGGTGACTGCTCACAAGTTGGCTATTGTAATCCCTGATGGGTTTTCGGCTGAGGGTGGGGGCTATAGAGGGCCAAGGGAGGCGCAGCGTGGGCCGTGCAGCTGCACTCCAGCTGCTGAGCTGTTGGGCGCGGTGCATGGCTCGCCTGGTGACGCCGCGGTCGTCGCAGCCAATGTCGAGCCCTGTGTGCCCCGACCGCCGTGACGAACCTGTATTCTAGGTTTTGGTTTTTTCTGCTCGGGCGCAGGGAGTGCAGCTGGCAGTGAGCCCGAATCTCACCACAGCTCTGCAGCCACGCGGAGCGCATGCCCGCAACAGCCCGCGCGTGCGGGAAATATGAAATTTTAGACGCCTAGCGTGAAGCGGCGGCTCCGCAGCCAGAGTCCTAGGCGCGAGTGGGGCCCCTCCCCACCCCGCCTTCGGGACCGAGGCGCCATGGGGCGAGCAGCTAAACCCGTGCGACATGCAACATCAAGCTTTTTGGCGCTGCTGCTGCTGGCTGCCTGCGCATGTCACCCGTGGTCGGTGCGCGCACAGCAGCCGGTGCTGCCTGTTCCGCCAGCCTCCCAGGTGCGTCAGGGTTGGGGTGGGGCGGCGCGAGGCGCAAAGTACAGCAGGCTGAACGCAAACACCACACTGGCCGGTCGCGCACCCACCAGCACTCCCGGAGCGGTCCCAACGGTGGCAGTCGGCGGTGGGCGCGCGCGCACGCTTCTGTACCTCCTGGGTGACGCTCGCGCCGCTGCGCTGCACCACCACGCGCGTGCGCCCGCCTCTCAGGCCTCCGCCGGATCTGCCCGAGCAGTGGTGATCACCGGCACGCAAGCCGCAGCGCAGCAGCAGAGCGCAGCCAGGCGCCTGGCCGCCGACGGCGCCCCAGACGACAGCGAGGGCGGCAGCAGCAGCAGCAGCAGCGGCAGCGGCAGCAGGGGCAGCAGGGGCAGCAGCAGCAGCGCTCCGGCCAGCGGCGCCGCACCCGCGTCCACGTCTGTGTCTGCGCCGCAGGCGCCGGCCGCGCCGCCCGCGCAGGACGCCCCCCTGTCTGGCGCAGGCGCCAGCTCCCAGGAGCTAGTGAACGCGATGCTGCGGCCGGCCCCGGCGCCCTCTGCGGCCGGCGTGCTCGGCGCCGTGCTCAACGGCAGCGCAGCGGCGCACAACAAGTCGCGGGGCTGGTCCCTCGCTTTGGGGGTAGGTACCCCCGACAGTCATCCCGCGGGCTGCCATGCAGCGGCGCGTTTCCGCCCGCATCCCGGCCCCGCCCCGCGTGCGCAGGTGCTAAATAAATCGCGCCGCCCCTCCCGCACGCTCCCGCCCGCCCCCTCCTCCCGGCGCGCCTGCCCCCGGGCCCCTGAAACCCCTTATCCACCACTCCCTGTGCCCTCCCCCTCGCCAGGACCCCATCCCTGACCACCAGCGTGTTGCCTACAACTACACCCCCATGCCGACCCTGGCCGAGCCGGGCGCCCCGGCCGCGGCCCCAAAGGACGTCCCGGCGATGACGGCGGCGCCGGCGCCGGGCGCCGACCCCAAAGGCCCCGGCGCGATCGCCATCGACGCGAGCCGCATGACGCCAGCTGTGGCTCTGGCGGCGAGGCAGGCGCAGCAGGAGTCTGGGATGGCGGCGTGGGTGGTGTGCGCGTGGCAGTTCAGCAACATCACTAATTACCAGAAGATGACGTCAGGGTTCGACGCGAAGCGGATCAGGTGCGGTCAGTTGTGCGGAGCGGGATGCTTCGAGGGGTGAGGGCGCACGGCGTGGGGGCAGGAGTGGAGGCGCGCATCCGCCTCCCGGCGCGAGGGCTGAGAGCGCCGCGCGCGCCCCTCAGTGCTGGAGGTGAGGGGAAAACCCAGGGGCTAGCGGGTGTGTAACAGCCGCCTCCCCGCTGGCGGCAGATCTCCACGCACTCTAAAACAACTGCCTCCCTAAACCCTGCAGGATGCTGATTACGCAAAAGTCGACGTCGAAGCTGAACCCTGAGCAGGTGGAGGTGATGACGACGGCCAACGTCAGCCTGGGGCTGCACTTCAGGGGGGTCTCCCTGGACAAGGATCCCGACGCCACCCTCAAGGGCCTGAAGGGCGCGTTTGCTGACCTGGCACTGGGGTTCGATCCCAACCTGATCCATGTTTCCCCCGAGCCCGAGCCCACGATCGGCGGCGCCGCCAGCGCGACGATCCTGAAGGGCGCGTCGCCGCTCGCGCTCGGCACGCGCCGCCTGCTCGGGGCGCGCGCGCGGCGGCGCCGGCGCCTGCAGCAGGCGGCGGGAGCGGCGGGAGGGACGGGGGCGGCGGGCGCGGCGGGGGCACGGCCGCAGGGACAGGCGAGGCCTGGGGTGCCAGCGTGGCGGGAGGACGCGTATGCGGCCTACACGGGGCTGTCCCCCAGCAGTGTGCAGATGCTGACCAATGCGCTGGAGCTGAACTGTGGGACCATGCAGCTCGGCCAGGCGCTGCCAGGTGCGGGGCGTTGGGTTGGGTGGTGCCCGGCCGCGGCGCGGATGAAGGGGTGGCGAGAGGGGGGTTCGCGGAAGGGGGCAGTGCTGACGGCGGGCGGGCGCATTACCGACGGGGGTTCGGCATGGCAGGGCAGCTGGTTGCCGGGGTTTGATGGGGCGTGTTGCGGACTAGCTGCCAGCGCGCACAGGCAGGCTGGTTTTGGGGGCGCAGCGCGGGGTGGTCGGGGCAGCTGGTGGTTCCTGGCAAGAACAAGGCGGCTGCGCTGTAAGAAGCCGCCCCTGCCATGTCGCACCCCTCTCGTCCCTCAGCGCACACTGGCGGTGCCTGCACGGAACAAGGGCTGCCTCCGTGCACGACACCTCCCTTTGACACACACACACACGCGCGCGCGCACACACACACACACCGCCCCGGCCGTCGCAGGCAACTGCTCCGCCGCGTTCCAGTACCACATGACCAAGGCGCTCGTCCCCGTCCAGGCGCGGCGCTTCTCTGCCAGCCTGATCAAGGTCCAGACTGTCACCATCAACGTCCTCGTCGCCGTCGGCTTCAGCCAGCAGCAGGTCAACTCTGGGCTGCCAGATCTGTTGACCGCGTGGCTGGGCAACTGGCAGAACGTGCGGTCTATGCTGGTGACCGCCGGCCTGGACATGGCCGAGACGCGCACCAGCGTCGCGTGGCTGCAGCGGCCGGAGCTCGTGTACAGCGACCCCGGCGGCGCCAGGGGCGCGAGCCGCATCAGCGTCGCGCTGGCGG